AGAGAAGAGAAGAGAAGAGAAGAGAAGAGAAGAGAAGAGAAGAGAAGAGAAGAGAAGAGAAGAGAAGAGAATGACAATGAGAAGAGAATGACAATGGGAAAAATGAAAAGAAAGAAATGTATTTGGTGTAGTTACCAATAATTATTTCAAATACCACTTAGCAATACCTATGCCTACCACTTTTTTATTATTCATTTCAATTTAATTATGCTGCTTGAGATTGTACATAGTTCTCTTACTACTCATCTTTTCAGTGAATAACATACATTTTCCAACCATAAGCATTCACACTTAACAGAGAATTATATGGTTTGCAGAATGCTTTCCTCACTGTAAGGTAAGTAACACAAGCTTTATTATCCCCATTTTTATAGATGAAGAAACAAAATACATCATTTAAGGTCTTTCATTACTTGACTCCAGTCTACCTTTCTGATCTTCTCTACCACAACTATACCACATTGTAGTAAAATTAAACATTTTTACCATTTCTTGAGAACATCTTCCGTTTACCTCCTCCTTACCATTCCCTTCTTCTAGAACGTCTCCTTTTATCCCATCTTTACCTGTTGAAATCATACCCATCCTGCAACAACCATCTAAGGTTATCTCATCTGTGAAACTTTCCTCTGAAACCTTCCCTGATCCTGCCATTAAGATCTTTCCTACTGAGCAACCACATCACCTTGTTCATACCTCTCTTACTGCTCTTATCACATGATACCTTGTATTATAATTGTATTAATGGGGTATGTGTCCTATTTCCCCTATTCAATTGAAAGCTCCTTAAAAGCAGGGATCATTCCTTCTTAATCTTTGTGTTCCTCACAGTGTAAGCATAGTAACCATTCATTAAATGTCGGTTGACTGAGCATTACCATTATTTATAATTTTATACCTTTTTCAATGCCCAAGTTTGTATTAACCTTATGTATCCAATTACAGGTCATGGAAGAAGTTACCAGTGAATTCATTGTAGAGGTAAAGTATAATAAAATTATTCCATTAAAGTTGATTTTTATGTATAAACACTAAAGATCCATTAATTAATCAGGTCAGATTGCTATCACCATCAACAATACAAAACACAACCAAGAAACAAACACTTTGAGTTATTACAAGGTTAACATTAAACCCATGCTTTGAATGACTTACAGTCAATCTACTAGGAATCTACCAAAGCCTACTGACTTTCACCTATCACACAGTTTTAAGATTAGTGATCTAGTTTCTAAGCTCAGAGTTATGATTGGAAACAGCTTGTTCTTTGGAAGGGAAAGGACTGCTAGAGACAAGCACACTGATATCATTGAAAAGTGACAGCGCCTCTTGACAGAGAAGTGATAGACTCAAAATGTAAAATATACATACATTTTTAATAAAGTCAATATGGGGGTTTATTGTGCTTGTATATGCATATTTCAAACAAAGGCTTGGTTTTTCTTTCCCCATCTCACAGTGGAAGTGGGTAGAGGGCAAGGAAGGATAGAGATAGGGTTGTTTTAAAAAGAAAACAAAACAAAACAAAAAGAAAAGAAAAGAAGGTCATTGGAGGATATTTTTTCCTCAATGCGGAGAAGAGAAGCAGAAAGAAGCACAGACAAGCAGTATAATTTTGAAAGCTGTTGGTTGAATCTATTACATACTTTAAGAACAAAACCTATCTGCACATAATAGAGATCTGTCATTTCATGTACAATCCTCTTTTTCTATTCTACTATAAATATGTCCATTTTATTTAGCGCTTGGTTCAGATCTTTTAAAAAAAAAAAGAAGAGTGATGATGAACACTGATAGAAAAACTAAATCTGAGTTTTTAACTATAATATTAAAGGAATTTAAGGCCAGCATTTGATATTTCAAATAATTCAAATAAGTAAAGATAATATAATGTATGCACATATACTGCCTATATATATATATATATACAATGACTTTCATCCCAGGTGCTTTTTAAATGTCATAGAATAATAGATATAGGGCTGCTCTTATAAAAAATAAGAATATTTTAGCTCTTGTACTGGGTTAGCTTTGATTATTTTAAAAAGGCACTTCTAAACATTTCTAAGATGCTGGATAAATAAGTCACTACTGTACATAAGAACATACATGTGTATATCAAAATTTCTGTAACTTCTACCTAAGTGCTCTGACATTCTAAAATACCTATCAGAAAGATACTCGTATGAGCCTACAATGAGGATAACATTGCTATCCTCTTAAAGCTCTAAAAGCAAGCAAATAGTTTATCACAAGGGAATAGATGAATAGTCCTAAAGTAAGTAATCTGTATAATTGTATACATATATTTAAAACTATTATTAATATATTTATTAATATTATTAACATTTAACAAAAATTATTAAATGTATTTTAACATTAAATAATTGATGTGAATTGATATTAAGAATATATTACATATATATGTATGTATATATATATATATATATTACTATTCCTTTGTTCTCTGCCATTTTGTAGTTGGATATCTAGAAGTAGTGCTGTTCCCACAGTAATCTCTTGCTATTTTCCATAAGACCATGTGCATCAGCATGAATAAAGCATAAGTCAAGTGTGTCTAGGTGCACTAGTTTACCTATCCCATGTCCTAGGCACACCTACGGGTATGTTTAAACATATGACTTGTTCACTATAGAATTCAATGCTATGGAGCACTAGCAACTGTTTAGCTTGGGCAAGTCTGGTCAGGGTTGAGGATGCAAAGGAGAGTAGGGTATGAAAGGGATTATACCAGAGAGTCCTGGCAACTTTTTTTTAAATACTAGGTGAAGTACAACACACCCTGGTACTGCCACCATTCGTAGCATCCTCATAATCATATCATTAAATCTAGACAAACTTTCCAAAGATAATTTGATTGATGATATCTAAACTATATTTATCAACATATAAGAATTGGGCATTACCTTATTTTGCCCACCAAATTCAATAAAATTCCTTTTCCCAGAGCTTGTTTCAAAAACTTTTTCAAAATTTCTTTAATAATTTTTAATTGGATCTTTTTTGCTTAAGGTGAAAGAGCTAGACAGTGAAAATGGAACTACAAAATGGCAAACCGTCAGACGACAAAAGAGAGAATGGATCAAATTTGCTGCTGCCTGTAGGGAAGGAGAAGACAATTCAAAGAGGAACCCAATTGCCAAAGTAAGTGAGGAAGCAAATGCAAACACTTCTGCAGAGTTAGGGAAACTCTTTCTATGGGACACATTCTTGGGAATCTTCCTTCTATAAAGCCATAAACAAAATATAAAGTATCAACCATCCTTATTAGAGTCCAATCTGTAATGTATAGTTACAAGGACAGAAAAATGCTAATTAAATATGATAATGATCCAGGTGAGGAGGCAGAAGAGGAAGACTAGATGAAGAAAGAGGGTAGAAGGAAGGAATGACTCAGGTGGGTCAGAGCTGACACATCTAGCCCTATTCAATTTTTCTTCTTTATCTCAGCTTCATAAACTCTTTCTAGACTCCTGAGCTAGAGTTGGAATACCATGATGCCTTGTATTATCACAAGGAGCTCATTAAACCCCATTTTATACCTCAACACACACACACACACACACACACACACACACACACACACACACACACACCCTATAAAGACCAAGATATATATAAAAATACCTTTTACCCTTAGTTCAGAGGAGGCAAAACAAAGACTTTTTCAAAAAGGACTTTTTACACAGAATTCAGTTTAATTCAATGAGCATTTATGAATCATGAATTATATAGAACACTACACTACATAGAGGAGAAACAAAATTTAGGTCTCATAGGGTGATATGACACAAACACAGATATCCATAATGCATAATTGCACATTAAGGAAGCATAAATAAAATGCTATGTGGGGTCATAGGGGAAGGAACATTGTTGACTGACAAGGTAGGATGATGGGGATTCAAGGACAGTTTTATATAAGAGTTCAACAAAATCTTTAGTTACTGATTCACCCCTTTCAAATTCCAAAAAAAAAGTAACTATAACTTCATGATTAGAAACACTAAAAGTTTTAAAATTACACATTTTCCAAGTTTTCCATATTTTTCACATTTGATTTAGGCTTTTAAAGGATGGGTAGAAATTCAAGAAATGAAGGAGAGGAGGGAAGACATTTTGGGCATAAGCAACCATGTGAGCAAAGGCATGGAAGTGAGAGACCACAGGGACAGAGTTGTTCCATTTATGTGTGGCATAGAATACATGAGCATGGATAGTAGAAAATAAGGTGTAAAAGGTAAATAGCAGAATGTGAGGAACTTTGAATAGCAGACAAATCAGTTTGAGCTATACTAAGCAGCAAAAAAAAACCTCCAAAGATTTCTGAACATGCTGACATGACCAGATCAATGTATATGGAAGATCAGTCTGGAATCCTTGTGAAAGATGGATTGTTGTAAAGAATGAGTGTAGGTAGGAATATTTGTCAGGATGCAGTCACACTTGTCTGGGCAGGTAGCAATGAAGGCCATTTACTAGACAATAATTACTAGGTAGTGGGAATTGGGAAGAGAGTATGGATAAAAGAGATGGAGGCAGAATAAACAGGACTTGATAACTGGTTTTGAGACATGAAGGTAAAGGAGGCATCAAAGATAGGGCCAAAGTATCAAGCATGGGAAGCTGGGTTAGTGGCAGTGACATGGATAGAGCCAATGAAGTAACAAAGTAGAGTTTATGGATATTGGGACATGCTGAGTTTTAAGAGTACATCCAGGGGAAGATGCAGGTCTGAAGCACTGAAGATGTAGTTTGAGAGACATCTGTATAGAGATAAGAGTGGAAGCCCTGGGATTGACTGATATTGACAAAGTACAGAGTTTAGTAAAAGCAAAAAGGAGAGACAAGGTCTGGGTGGGGGGGCAATAAACATGAAATCTTAGAAACAACTTAATTTTCACAGAAGTCTTTTTATTCAAATAAAACTGTTAGCTTGAATGGTATACTTTACAAAGCAACCAGTCCCCAATGCTTTTGTACCAACTTTGTCTGAATTTAATTGTAGCAAATGGACTGAGGATCATAGATTTAGAGCTGGAAGAGTCCCTAAATACCAACTAGCTCAATTCCCTCATTTTACAGATGAAGAAATTAAGGATAAGAAAGTTTAAATGGCTCCAACTGAGAATTTATAGACAGTAAATAAAAGAACCAAAGTTCAAACCCTGGTCAATTGGCTTCAAATCTAATATTCCTTCCATTGCCCCACTCCAACTTGTCACCCCAGATAAATGTGAATTGATACCACTGTCAGAACGATAAGATCTTCCCAGATAGAGCTTCTCAAGCTTTTCCTCCGGATATGCCTTTCTCCTCTATCTGTCCCCTTTAGCCTTACATTGTACTTTTACTCTGTAGTTTCTACTCTGAATGTAACAAGTTAGGAATTGGTCAGTCAATGTCCTACATGCCAGACATGGTACTAAGCACTGGAAATGCAATGAAAAGAAAAAGTGGTAACTGTTCTCAAAGACCCATAGTCTTATGGGAGACTCAACAGGCAGAAAACTATGTACAAACAAGATGTACACGGAATAAATTGGAGATAATCAATAGAGGAAAGGCACTACCATTAAAGGAGATGGGAAAAGAATAGTCTGCAAGAATTCTATCATTATGATTTTGAACCCCAGTATACCTTAAATTCACAGCAACTATTATAGACATTATTTTCATATGCAGCTTTAAGAATTTTTGAAAGTCTTGAATTTGGAATATTGTCACTGATATCATTCAGCCGACATCACTGCTACATCACCTTCCTGACGTCATTGGTCCTCTTTGAGAGCAAAGGAAGGACAACAACCACCTAGCCTTTAATCGCCAAGTGGGCATTGCCTCACACCAACTGAGACCTGGGAAAGACCTTAGCTTAAAAGTCCAAGGTATCCCACTGCATCCTGGGTCACTGCCAGTTGTCCTGATCTCTATCTCGCTACTAGACTCTGATGACTCTGGAGAAGAGAGTGAGGCTGACAACTCTGCCCAGCCCTGCCTCACTTAAATTCAATTTACTTGCAAGTCAAGATATCGCCCTCCTGCAGTCATTGGTCCTCAAGAGTGAAGGAGGAGCAACAGTTACTCCAGTGCTACTTCCATCTATCCTCTGATTTCAGTGGTTTTTCCGAATTTTGATGAATTAAATGATGTCTTGTGGACAGACGAGAGGAAACTAGGATAGCACTTCCAGCTCTACCAGATAGATTGCCCAGAGGATACAGTAATGGACCCGGGGTCAGGAAGATCTGAGTTCAAATCCAACCTCAAATGCTTACTAGGTGTGTGACCCTGGGCAAGTCATTTAACCTCTGTCTACCTCAGCTTCCTCATCTGTAAAATGGGGATAATAGCACCTACCTCTCAGATCTGTTGTGAGGATCGAATGAGATAATCTTTGCAAACCCCTTAGCGCAGTGCCTAATACATAGTAAGCACTATATAAATGTTAGCTATAATAATAAAGCAATAAGTTTGGGGCCAGTAATAGTAATATTTTAAGAAATCACCTTCTTCATAGCCTGTCAGTGATCATTCCTTCCCCAAGGTCTCGACAGTCATTACTAAAATCTATAAATTTTAAGCTGAAGATGTTAGATAGAATAAATGTATACACAATCATGAGACTGACACTTCTTGATTACGGGTGTATAATGTTTGGTTTTGTTTGGGGGTGGCATTAAATAATACCCAGAGCTAGAAGGGACATTAGAGATTATTTATTCTGATCATTTCATTTTACAGATGAGGAAACTGAGGCTTGGGGAGGGTGGAGGTGAAGTAAGTTGTCCGAGTTCACAAAAGTAATTCAGACACATTCTTGTGTTTTGACTTCAAAACAAAGTGAAACAAGGAAAGCTGAGACGGTTCGTGGTTTTCTTTTCATTTGCACAATTGCCCCTGGCATTTTCACCTCAAGTTAAAGGCTAGTCAGGCATGTGAACGACATGATACATCCTATTTTTAAAAGGGAGTAACAGAACTGACTTGTTTTGTCACACTGTGTGTACATGTAGAATAAATCAGAAAATTGAGACAATTATTTAGATAACTCAATGAAGAAAGAAAAATAAAACCTTTGCCTCTCTTCTCTGAATAGATCGGAGGAATCTCAACTTTCCATTCCTCCGAGATTCTCTTAATCTCTAGGCAAGATGGTCATTTCCATACAATAAATTCAGTGGGAAAGAGAGCCTTAGTCAAAGTGATTTATTTGAATCAATTCTATCCCAAAGACTGAGTTGCTAATGTGTAACCACAGCCTGTCTCACCGGCTTTTCCTTCCAAAAGATTCAAGTTAAAATGATTTGTAAAATTCCTGAGACTTTTAGAAGGATAGAGTACCTGGAAATAAGCAGGTCATGAGTTATGGTGATATATGTGTTCATCAGAAATCACAAGCATAGCTCCTTTCTTACAGATACGATCAGATTGTGAAGCTAACCAGAAGATTACATATCGTATCTCTGGGGTAGGGATTGACCGACCACCTTTCGGAGTCTTTACTATTAATCCCAGAACTGGAGAAATTAACATAACATCAGTGGTTGATCGAGAAATAACCCCAATGTTCTTGGTAAGTCAAATCACTGTGCTTTGGTTTATTTATTTGTTTAAACTTTCCTCACTGGGAATCTCCCAATACCAATGAAATCATAAATCTCTACCAAAACAGAACAAAACAACAATTCCCTTTTTACAATGTAATTCAGACACATTTTCCAAAGGCCAGTTTTGAGTGATGATATTTCACTCAGAAATTGAATAAATAATAAGTAGTAAAGGAAGATAAGAAAATACAGGGGAACACACAATGAGGACTTTCTATTCCACTAGTATTCAAGAAGTCAAGCCATTCACCAATATATAAATTATTGAACACAGAGTCATAGAATCTCAGTTTTAAAAGGAATTTCATAGATTATCTAATACAATCATAGGAATTCACCCTGCAGCATCTCCAACAAGTAGTCATTCAGTTTCCAGTAGGAGACTTCCAGTAATTAACTTCTCTGTCACTTCATTTCATGATTTTTCCCGAGTATTTCATTTATCCATTCATTCTTTTCTCTTTTTTTTTAAGACTAGGTCCCCATATCTCTCCCAGGTTAGCAGTACACCAGTCACTTACAGGTCCAACTCTACTGCTGATCATCAAGGAAGCTTTGACCTGCTCTGTTTTTAATCTGTTCTGTTTCCCTCCTCTTTAGGAAGTCTAGTGGTCTCCTGTTCTAGAGGCTCACCATATCAGTACCAGACTTAATATAGACCCCCCTGCAGGCTCTAGCCCTACTGCAGCTTAGAATTCCCAAACTCAAGTGATCCACCAGGCTTACCCCTTCTAGTAAGCAGGCACTAGATATGTCCTACCACACCCAGCCATTCATTTATTCAGATATTCATTCAGTCAACATTCTATATGTAAAATACTATGCATGTTTCATTCACTTTTTTTCTTATGAAGAATTGCATTTTATTGCTTTTGACCTAGATCTATTGCCGTGCTCTGAATTCCCGAGGTGAAGATTTAGAAAGACCACTTGAGCTTAGAGTCAAAGTTATGGATGTAAATGATAATCCTCCAGTTTTCACACAAAATGTATACACTGCCAGTATTGAAGAACATTGTGCTACAAGTAAGTATAACAGAGATCCCCACCCCATCCAATACCATTGTGCCTTTCGTAGACATTATTCTGGCCAGAAGCTTTAAAAGATTCTATTCCTTTCATCTTAAAGGTTAAAATTTAAGTGCCATAAAGCTGAGAGGGAAAGCTAAGTTATGGAAGAAACTCTTCTTAAATAGTGTCTGCAGTGACTCTAACTTGAAAAGAATTTCTAAACAAGGTTTTGTGAGTTGTTGCTTTGCATAACTTTTAAAGATGTCCCTGGAGATATGTTCAATATAATCAAAGTCTATGAACAGAACTACAATTGTAAGCATTAAGAACTTTATAAAAGTTTGCCTTAAAGAAGGCAAATTTGAAATAAAAGTAGGTCTTATGCTAACAGGTAAAGAATACCAATAGAACTTTTATTAATTTACGAAATGACTAAGACATTGGAGTTGAACAAGATGTTCCACATGGCCTCTACTTTCTCTGTTTCTTCCTTTCTTTCTTCAAAGATTCATGATTTCATTATGTGGCTATGTCCTTTATCAGGATAGATCACAATCAAATTTTTATAATTTCTTATAGTCAAGAAATTTCATCACCTGTTGGCTTAGCATTTGCTGAGAAGCTTCTCTGAACTTAAGCTGATTTGGGACATATATCATCCAGTCACTGGGCCCATACTCCAAATCTTCCCAGGTTGTTTGTAACAGAATATATGTTCCACTGGTACAGCCTTGAAGAACTCAGCATCAACTTCATGACATAAGTATCATAATAGACTTTAGTAGTGACATCCAGAATAAGATAGGTTGCTTTTTTAATTTTCACATTTTCTTTGTATATCTCTTCTTCCTGATTATCTTACTTTCAAACTTTATAGGTTGGGTCAGACAACATTGGGAAGTAGATAGAGTACAAGATTTTAAAGTAAGACAACTTGGGTTTTAATCCCAACCTCCTTGCTAGCTGTGTGACCATGGGACAGTCACTCATCCTTTCTCAGCCTTAGTTTCCTTATATGTAAAATAGGAGTTATGAAATCTGCAATACCTCCTTCTCAGTGTGGCTCAGAGGGTAAAATAGAATATGTAAAATGTTCTGAAAACTTTAAACTGGCACTTATCCTTCTATATCTCTTTCATTCTTTTTTCTTCTAGTCCCCTTTTCTTTCTTGTCCCCTCTAATCCCCTTCACATGACCCAGTATCCTCCGAAGCAGAGATTGGAAAGAAGAGAAAAGTAAGAAGGGGACTCAAAAGCAAAAAGAGACAGCTGGGGGATGGGTGGTTCAGAAAGACGAAGGAAAGAAAAAAAAAGAGAAAGGAAAGAGGAAGAAGACAGGAGAGGCACAAAAAATAAGAGGCACAAAAAAAAGAGGCACAAAAAATGAATAAATGCAGTAGAGAAGAGGGTCACAAGAGGACAAAAGTGAGATGACACATGTAAGGGGAATTGAACTAGGGCACAAAATCATATGCCTCCATTGAATTATATAGTAAATAAGGCTACATGCAATCTAAACTCCCATTTTACAATTAAAATAGAGAAAGGGAGAGGGGAAAAATAAAGCCTGACAGGGAACAAAATAGCAACAGAAGAGAGAGACAGAATAACAGGCTATTTTACCTCTCCCAGTGAATTCAAGGGAGTTAAAACAAAATCACATCATTTGGGGACCTTATTAGCTGCACTTGTGGTATTGATGACTCCTCTCTGTTCCCATCCTCAGGATTACTGCTCAAGAAGGCAGTTAGGAAATCTTCCACATGGTATGTGGGGCAGCACTTTTTGATGAGGATGACTATGATTATAGTAACTAACATTTACATAGGGCTTTAAAGTTTATAGAACAATTTACAAACATTTGTTCAGGGATGTGCTGGAACCAGCTCTTATGGATTTCCCAGAGCCATTGTTAACTTCAATTTGAGCATTTACACCATAGCAATTGACAAATGCTACAAATCAGGGGCTTGATTTATTGTTTTATTGACTATTTAGACTTAAGAAAGTGATGGAGAACAACTAGGTCTGTATCTCAAAGAGATCATTAAAAAGGGAAAAGGACTCACCTGCACAAAAATATCTATAGCAGTTCTTTTTTGTGGTGGCCAAGAATTGGAAATTGAGGGGATATTTATCAAGTGGGGAATGGCTTAGCAAGCTGTGATATATGAATGCAATGGAATACTATTATGTTATAAGAAATGAAGAGAAGGCAGGTTTCAGAAAAACCTTGAAAACTTACATGAATTGATGCTGAGTGAAGTGAGCAGAACCAGGAGAACATTGTACACAGTAACAGCAACATTTTGAGATGATTAACTTTGATAGACTTAGCTCCTCTCAGCAATACAATGATCTAAGACAATTCCAAAAGACTCATAATGTTTCTATGCTATCCACATCCAGAGAAAGAACTATGGAGTTTGAATGCAGATCAAAGCATACTATTTTCTTTCTTTTTTTTTCTTTCTCATGTTTTTTTTTCCTTTTGTTCTGATTCTTCTTTCACAACATAATGTGGATTAATGTGGAATTATGTTTAATATGATTGTACATGTATAGCCTATATCAGATTGCTTGCCATCTTGGGGAGAAGGGAGGGAGGAGGGAGAAAAAAATGGAACTCAATCTTATAAAAGTAAATCTTGAAAACTAAAAAAAAAAGTGATAGAGAAAATTTAAGTAATGAAGATTAAACTTTGAAAGGTGCTGCATTTGTGTGTGTGTGTGCCAGTTGTTAAACATTTACTAGCACACGACTACAAATCTCATTTAATTATCAAAACAACTCTGTTAAACAATAGCTATGGGTATTACTATCCTCATCCTATGGAAGATGAAAGTAAGGCTGAGTACAATGAATGAAATGTCATGCTTATGGGAAGAGAGAAGGGAAGAAGCATTTATGTGGCATCTGCAATGGGCCAGGCACTATTCTAAGCACTTTTTTTCAATTATTATCTCATTTAATCATCAACAACAACCCTATGAGGTAGAGGTTATTATTATTCTCATTTTACAGTTAAGATAACTGAGGCAAATATAGGTGCAGTGACTCGCCTGGGGTCACACAGCTAGTAAGTGTCTGAGGGAGGTTTTGAATTCAAGTCTACCTGACTCCAAGCCCAATTCTCTATCCACTGTACCATCAGCTACCATGCTCACATAGTTTAGGAAAAGCAGTGTGCCATAATGGATAGAGTAACTATCAAGGGAATCTATGACTTCCTGATTCCAAATCAGAAATCTTTTCCACTATCTCACCCTGTATCAGAAGCCAAAAGATCAGGGTTCTAGACCTGGCTCTGCCATAAGTCTGCTATGTAATCTGGGAAGGCATTTCACCTCAGAACTCCTGTCTCTGCAAAATGGGGGCGATGGTATTTGCTCTGTTTACCTCACAGGACTATTCTGAAAATCAATCCAAATCATTAGGCATTTAGTAAATGACTACCATGTCCATGAAGAAATAAAAAGATCAATAGAATATGATTGACTTTGAGGTAGTGAGAAAAGCTCTTATTGAAGTCAGAAGACCTGGGGTTGTGTCCTAGCCCTAAAACTTACTAGCTGTGATTGAGCAAGTCACATAACCTATTTGAGACTCAGTTTCTTTATCTGGAAAATAGGAATACTACTCCTTGAACTGTCTACCTTACAGAATATTAAATGAGGAAGGTGTTACACAAACTGTAAAGTGCTTTTTAAAGGTGAGCTATTTTATTGCATTCTGTTAGGCACAATTAGACATGAACACAAATTATAATAATATAAAATGGAACATAAGTGCATAAGAGAGGTATACACAAGGCAATGTGGCATTTAAGAGGTAGGAAATACCACTTCCAGCTGAGTAGATCAAGGGCTTCATTGAGGAGGAAGCATTTAAGTTGTACCTTAAAAGAAGCATAAGCAGGCCTGGTAAGGGAAGACAGTCCTGACAAATGGAGTAGTGGGAGCAAAAGCATGAAAGTAAAGATTAAGTGATACATATTCTTTTTTTTTTTTTTTTTGGTGAGGCAATTTGGGCTAAGTGACTTGCCCAGAGTTACACACTTAGTGAGTGTTATGTGTCTGAGGCTGGATTTGAACTCATGTCTTCCTGACTTCAGGGCCAGTGCTCTAACCACTGTGCCACCTAACTGCCCCAGTGATATGCATTATTAAAAAAGGTAAATGTCAAGTTCAACTGAAATACAGATGACATAAAAAGGTAGAAATAAAAGGTAGACATAGAGGGAAGGATATCAAAGGTAGTTTATGACAAGGTTATGAAGGGTTCTGAATGCCAAGATAAGGAGCTTGGAATTTGTTAGTCAAAGCCACTATTGTGTGCCAGGTGCTATGCTAAGTGCTACGGATATGAAGGAAGATAAGAGATATGCCTTGAACTCAAGAAGTTCACAGTCTAATGGAGGGGATGACATGTAAACAACTCTGTACAAACAAACCACATAAAGGATAAGGTGGAAACAATCAGCAGAGGGAAAATACTAGCATTAAGGGGGATTGGAAAAGGTCTTCTCTAGTAGGCAGAATTTTAGCTCTGTTTGGTATGTAATAGAGGGTCATTTTGTTATAGAGGAAAGTTTTTTAATGGAAGAGAAAGTGGCCCAATCAGAGCCAAATTATATAGTCAACACTGTGTAAGAAAAGTTTGAGTAGGGATAGAATGGAGGTAAGGAAATCATTTGATGGGTTACTGTAATAATTCAAGTAGAGGGTAAGGATAACCATAGTAGAATAATAGCAATAGGTGTGGGAAAGAGAGGATGAATGTGTGAGCCACTATAGAAGTAAAAATCAATTAATGCTTTATAACTGGTTGGATGTTAAGGGTGAGAGGGAGGAAGATGACATTGAGGTTTCAAACACCAATGACTAGGAAAATGGTAGTGATGTATCAAAATACAGAAATCAAGTAGAAAAGCAGTTTTGTGGGAAACAATGGTGAGTTTAAATGCCTGGGATGTTGAGATGGGAATGTTCAATATACAGTAGAAAACAAGAGTGGTTGGGCCTAGATATTTCAATTTAGAAGTGTTATTTGAATCCATTGGAGTACCTAATAAGATTCCCAAGGGAATGATTGCCAAGAGAATTTAAGAACAAGAGATGTATAAATCACTTCAACTAGAGAGTATAGTACCTATGCTAGGTACTAGAAAAGAAGCACATTTTAGATTAAACAGGTTCCTTGCTCTCACAGAGTTTACTATCATAAGGGATATGACACATACACAGTTAACCGAGTACAAAAAACTACACAGTAAGTGTAAAACCAAATACTTGGCAAGATCCAAAGGGACAAGGTCATCACCGATTAATGGGATCTAGGAAGTGTGTGTAGAGGAGATGGGATTTGATATTGACATTTTTGGCATTTGGTCAACCATGTCAATTATTATGGTAAGGTCAAAACAGATAAGAACTGAGAAAAGATCGTGTTTCAACAGTGAAGGGCATCGAAGCAAAAGTGCTGAAGATGAAGGAGCAAGTCAGCAATAAGGGGACTGTGTCACTCTGTACAGACCATCCTTCCTAAAATTTTATCAAAAGGCAGAGATAGATGCTAATGGCTTGAGAAGGTGATAGGGTCAAGGGAAGGATTTTTAGTACATTGAATATCTGACTATATTTGTAAAGAGAAGGGAAAGACTCAATGAAAAGGAAAAGATTGAAAACAGAAAACAGTCAGATCCTGATTTTTTTTTAAATGAAGCTCATGAAGCAGCTGCATGTATTCAAATTTGCATTATTCAAGGTTTATAATTATAAAAAATATGGAAATTGATTTCAGTCCAGTGGAAATCTACAGCTCAAATTTAGATAATGCAACCACTTCACAGGATTCACTATTCACACTAATCCAGATCTAGCTGTAGTTGAGGCATAGTTGTTGGAGAAAAGTCACAGAGAAGATGGAAGGGAATAAAACTAAAGATACAGATGGGTGGGATGTTACCTTCTCAGAAAAAGAGAAAGACAATTTTTCCTCTAAAATGGAAGATGGTTAAAGACAAGAGAATTTTTAAGGTATGAAGAAGGGAAACACATGAGATGGCTCCAATCACCTCAATAAAGTAGAAGGGAAGAATATTTTTCTGAGAGTGTGGAGCAAAAGGGGTAGAATTGGAGGTAGATTTGAAAAGAATAGATCATGTTCAGAATACACACTGAGAAATTTACTAGGGTTTGGATATATAAAATAAAAATATTGCCAAAGAACAGTGAGGGTCCAGTTGAAATTTAATAGCATGAATTCATATGGAATATCATCATAAGTATAATTTTATAATTTTCTCCAAGGATGTTTGGCAGAGCCAGGACCAGAAATGGTGAATATTTGGGGCTTACCAGGTATAAATGAGTTCAGGGGCCAATAATCAATACAAACATAACCAAAATGCCTAGGGTTGCATTGTGTGGAGATTCTGGAAAACATTTGACCAAACACATCAAATGTTTGCAAATACTTGCAAAAATTGGCAGGAACTGCAGAAATGGAGACTATCTAGGAAAATTCTCATAAAGAATCTGGAGAGAATATCTCATTAACTTAGTTTAATTTTCTTTCATGACCAAGGTGAACACCTTTAGTGAATATCATTCTGTTTCGTGTTTCACAAAATTTTAATAATCAGATTCCCGTCAAACAAGGTTATCTTTATTATATTTCCCAAAGAATCATGTATAATTTTGACAAATGCATGGGAGATGCCTTGCTGGAAAAGAACTTTTATGGTACTATTTTGCTTCAACTTTTTTTGTGACGTCATTTTATGCCTGCCATGTCCAAGTTGAAGAGAGATTCCCTATAGATGATGGTTGTTCTCCAGGTATTCCCTTTTATGAAAGACATTGTGCTAATTATATCTAACAATAAATAACTGCAGAGCCGTCTTAAATGAAATCCATAATCACTCAAGCAGTTTGGCATGACTATCTACATAGGAAAAAAAACCAAGCAGATGAAAAATGTCTATTGTCTGGAAGTTGTAAGGATAAACCATAGAGCTATCAAGTAGTAGATGAAATCAGATACAGAAAAACAATTCTCTTATTGGTTCTTTGACCAAGGATGAGGATGATACAATAACCCAAAAAAGTTTTGAGTAATGGCATCAGAACAATCATTTGGAAATAGTAGTTGTTCAACTCTCCTTCTGATCCCATTATCTGGAGTTATGGAAGCCAAGTTCCACTCACTTTGAGAAAGTAGAAGGAGTACTTGAAGAAAAGATAGAAGTTTTAAGGGAATTTAATTATGAAAAATAAAATAGAAAATAATTTATAATGCTTCTGTGGATTCTTTGCATTAATAGAATCTATTGAAAACTTTCAATCACTTTCTTTTCGTTCCTAGACACACTGGTGATAAAGTTAAGTGCTACTGATGCAGATGAAGAAAATCATTTGAATTCTAAAATTGCTTACAAGATAATATCTCAGGAGCCTGCAGGTTCACCACTGTTTATTCTGAACAGATATACAGGAGAAATCCGCACGATGACGAGTTATCTTGACAGAGAAGTAAAGCCTTCTACAAATAATTAGATCACACACACACACACACACACACACACACACACACACACACAATCTTTGATTTTGAAAAAATGGAAGAACTGGTGTATCCATCACTCTTCTTACCCCAGGGCACAAAGGAGGTGGGGGAGGGGACCTCATAAGCAATACTTTTAAATAAAGTTCATACTCCTTTTCCTAATTGAAATCTGCTCTAGATCTATGAGAAGAAAAATAAAGTGATCCAAACTGATCTTTACCTAATATATGACCAAATTCATAAATTCTTCTTTTCATCTTCATTTAGGAACATAGCACTTACAACCTCGTTGTGAGGGGCTCTGATCGGGATGGAGCTCCAGATGGGCTGTCTTCAGAGTGCGAATGTAGAATCAAAATTATAGATGTCAATGATAATTTCCCAACACTAGAAGAAACATCAGTAAGTTTTGCTCTTGAATACATACTATCATCCAGAAGTAGGAATTATGTATGTTTTTCTAGTTGTCTCTGAGATAGGCATTTGTGAACTTTTAATTTTTCTGAATATTCCTTGGAGTTTTTTTCATGAATAACATGCTTTATAATGTCACTTTCATTAATTCATTCAATCAATAACTATTACATTGCTATTATATCCAAAACATTGTGCAATACACCAGAATAGAGATTCACTTATATAACTCTGTAAGATGTGACTGTAACAAAAAAAAAAGAGGTTATGTCCATAAGCCACACAAGAAATCGATTTCTTCATTTTATAGCCACATACCGAACAAAAGCAAAATTACTTTTATTAATACTGCTTATAAAAACTTAACTACCATCTTTTATTTTATATCATAGTAGAATGATTTTAGGAGACCTGAATTCAAGTCCCAGATACAACATTTATGAGCTGTGTAATCATAAGCAAAGCAAAGTTATGACTAGAGAAGGACAAATAGCACTCTGCTCCATTAGACATTGAAGATTAGAAGATATAAAAATTTCCAATAATAATTTTTAAATATTACACAATTTTAAACATTATATTCATGTTTCTATCACATGCACTCCAACAGAATAGGAATAACTAGTAAGAAAGAATAACAGAAACTAACAGATATCACGTTTAAGAATACTCATCTGAGAACCTCTGTGGTAATGAATTTTTCCCCTCTATTCAACTGAATTTGCCTCATTCCACGAACCACAGAATAGCTTTAAGGCAAAGGGGTTTTTTTTTGATTATTTGTTTAATATTTTATTTTCCCCCAATTATATGTAAAAACAATTTTTAGCATTCGTTTTTAAAATTTTTGAGTTTCAAATTCTCTCCCTCCTTCCCTCCCTACCCCCTCATTGAGAAGGCAAGCAATTTGATAAAGGCTATATATGCATAGTCATGCAAAACATTTCTATATTAGTCATGTTGTAAAAAAAGGCAAGAGTTCTTAACCTGGGGTCCAAACATCCCCAAAAGCTCTGTTGATAGATTTCAGGAGGCCCATGACCTTGGATAGGAAAAAATTACATCTTTATTTCTATGTAATTGGTTCCCTTTGTAATTCAGTGTGCTTTATTTTATACTCTTATAAGTATTCTTCTGAGAAGACAGCCATAGGCTTCACTAGACTTCCAAAAAGACCATGATATTGAAACAGTTCAGAACTCTTGTTTTAAGGGGAGTTTCAGGCTATTTGCTGTGGTTGCCAAAATTGCTAGTTAAAGGTCTGAGGCAAAATCAATTAATATCTATGAATTTCAGATTCTTTATCTATAAAATGGTCATAATATTTTAATAATCTCCATCACAGAGTTATTGTGAAGAATAAACTTTGTAAAACTTTAAGCAATTTTTAAGTTATGTACTACATGGCCTTGGTTTGAGGAAAGTGTTTCACAAATCTTAAAGTGATATATAAATGCGAGTGAGGTGATGATAATTATGTTACATAATAGGTTTCCTTTTTGGAAAACATTTCAGTTTATGGTTGCTGTTACTTCTGTCATTTCAGTATTCAGCAAGTATTGAAGAAAACTGTTTAAGTTCAGAATTAATACGATTTCAAGCAATTGATCATGATGAAGAAAACACAGACAATTGGTTGGCAGACTTTTTCTTTGTCTCTGGAAATGATGGAAATTGGTTTGAGGTGCATACAGACCCAAGGACTAATGAAGGAATTCTGAAAGTTGTTAAGGTATTATATCAGTGTCGCTATATATTGTTTCAAATGTTTTTTTAAGTTACATTCTGCTGAATTATCTTCTTTGCTCCCTTAACACTGTGCTTTTCATATTGTTAAGGATCAGTCAATCAAAAACAAAAGATTATTTCTCCTTTTACCTCTCCTTCCTTGCCCCAGATTCCATTTTTAATAAAATGCTCCTGGGCACCAACTCCTGGAAAAAAAATAGAAGTCACATGCTCCTGTTTCAACATCAAATGAGCCACTCACATGCAAAGTAGCTATTCAGTGAATCAACACAAACATTTATTGAGAACCTACCATATGCAGGGCCCTTTTGGGGGTCTTATGACGGATACAAAGAAACCTAATACACGATCGCAACCCTCAAAGAACTTAAAGTCTAATTAGGGAGAAAAGTAAATGAAATTAAAAGTTAAATAATAATGCTAGAGTTAAATGTCAATACAATAGATGTCACAAGGCAATAAGTACTTAATAATTGTCAAAAGGATAGCATGGCCAATAAAGGCTATGAATTCAAAGAGGGTAAAGATGTTGTAGCTTTGGAATGGTATGGGAAGGCTTCATGGTAGGAGGTGGGTTGGGTACTGAAGGACATGTAGGATTTGGACAGTCAGAAGTAAGAAGGAATTCAGGGGAGGAGGTAAGGAACAGAGTGAGCAAAAGCACAGACTCAATGGAGGAAAGGAGACTGAAAGATAGTTATGGAACATATTATGAAGGTCCTTGAATGACAAGCCAAGAAGCAGTGACTTTCTTGCTTTTCTATTTGTATTCTCAGTGTTTAGCACTGTGCTTTGCAAACAGGAAGCATTTTTTGTTCATTCATCCCCATAGGCAATGGAGGAGGATTGGAGGGTTTTGAAAAAAGAGATGATGAGGGGCAGCTAGGTGGCGCAGTGGATAGAGCACCAGCTCTGAAGTCAGGAGGACCTGAGTTCAAATCTGGCCTCAGACACTTAACACATACTAGCTGTGTGACCCTGGGCAAGTCACTTAACTCCAATTACCTAGCAGAGAGAGAGAGAGAGAGAGAGAGAGAGAGAGAGAGAGAGAGAGAGAGAGAGAGAGAGAGAGAGAGAGAGAGA